AAAAAAAAAAAAAAAAAAAACATGGAGCTTGTGTTGGGATCCAAAAGTCGTGGGGTTTTTACGAAGTCCACGTGGGGTTTTCCAGGCTGTGCACTGTTACATGCCACTGATCAGTGACAGCGTGGAGGTCCAGTTCTGAAGGAGACTTGAACATGAGGCAGAATTGCTAAGAAGGTAAACCGTGTGAGGGAGAGAGTTGAGGGGCATTACTCAGTAATGCCCCCAACAACTTGAATGGTGAGAGGAGCTCCTGCCATTTCTGACAGCACTTTGCTCATTGCCTGATGCATCTTAAATGTTCAGTGCTTATTACTGAATTAATGATCTTACTGATTCCTGCTCTTATGTGTTGTGATGACCCACAGTTTGGACATTCCTTTATTAACTATTTTCTCAGAAGCTAGTTTTTAGAATGCTTTCAAATTTCTAACTGTATTAGCTGTCAAAAGAGGTCTCTTATGGGCACTAGCATGATCTGTTGTCACCTTAACCAGAGCGCCTGGCCATCTGCCTTTCCGGAAGGCCCCAGGGATGTCACCTTCACTCCTCTGTACCCTAGACCTCTGATGACACTCGCTGCTCTGGGATGCTAGCATGCCTGACTGAAAGCCCACTGACTCCTTCTTAATGCCCTCCGTGTCTCCTCCATGTCTCCCCCAACTGGCCTCCCACCCCTCCCCACCACTGCATAAGACCATGTCCCCACTAAAACACATCTCTCAACTCTCAGTTTTCACCTAAGTAGCCATCATTTTTCTCCACTGTCCTGGTCACTTCTCTTCATTTGGGACATGCCACCAAAGGCTCAGGGAGAGCTGGAGTGGTTGTAGGAGGCAGCATGGCAGAAAGGAGTGTGGATTTCTACCTGTGGTTTTAGGGTGATCAAGGGCTGTGGGACTGAGGAGTAAATTCAGGTGTGTTTGAATGATGACTGAGAACTCTGTGTTTTACCTTGAAGTCAGCAACCTTTTACCTTGAAGTACAGCTGTCAGGGCTCTCAACTGATGACCAGAGCAGGTGAAAATGAAATATCCTGTGTCCTGTTTTTAGGATGGAATCTATCTTTTGTTTTGTTTTTTCTTAAAAAAAAAAAAAAAAAAAAAAAA